TGATGATGATGATGATGATGATGATGATGATGATGATGATGATGATGATGATGCTTTTACAATCGATTGTAGAAAATGATAATAAACCTCGAGATGTCTGTATTAAGCTTAACACCTAAAAAGCATCTTTAGAAATACCCTGTCTAAATACTGAAGCGTTATCTCCGATAACAGTTTGTAAAATCCTTCTCAGTCACGACGAAGGATTGCATTAAATAAAAACGTTTTAATATTTGCAAACTGTAATACTGTAAAAATATTAAGATAAAACATGAATTTTGATTAAAAGAGATAGCCTCTTTGATATCCGTCTGTTATCTCGCCATTCTTATGTCAGTCATTGTGGCTTAACTGATTACAAACTTGACCTGGTGGCTCTCGTGGCCTAGAGGTTAAGGTCCTGGGTTCGAATCCGGGTAGCGACCGAAAAATTTTCTTCTCTAAAATTGTCTCCTTTCACCCCCTTTCCTGCTCTCTAGCAATATTCTGTCGTCTGCTTTCGTCTCCTCTTTCTTCCCCCACCCCTTCACCTCCTTTGCCCTCTCCTCTGGGCTCCTGACTCTTTCAGCAGCCTTTCTACCTCTACTCCTTGACTCCTTCTTACAGCTATCTTTCTGCCACACCCCTGATCTTCTGGTAGGAAAGATCTACACCTAACCTTCTCGCACAAGGGCGAAAAATCTCGGAGGGCCCGTGTGCAAGTTGCGCACGTTAAAGATCCCTTGGTGGTCTAAAATCGAAAAGAGTAGGCTTCGGCCGCCACCCAGGTAAAATTCAAAAATTCCTACCAACTAAAAGTATTAGGTGTGTCCAGCGACCTCATATAACCTTATGCAGTTGCGAGCGCCGTAAAACACTTACCAAAAATAAAATAAAGAACTTGACCTACACGCAGCGGTTTACTGTTCGTAACCAGCTTTAAGAAGGTTGAGTTTTAGTCATTCTCCGAACCAAATTTTAGCTCCACCTTGTGAACGAGCCGATATCTGAGTGATCCTTGACCGATCGACCATTCGTCATAATATCCCTTACACTGACCTCTGGCCCGGAGCTCGCCAGTGTACGAGAAAACGAGGAACTCTCAATTACGCAACAACGGATTAGGATGAAAATTTTTTTTACACCATCAGATGCAGAATTAAATACTCTATGAAATATATAAAAATTAAAAAATCGAAAAATTTTGTCCATTCGTCGTTTTCCCTTACGACGGCAGATCTAATATTATGATTAGTTTCAACTTAAAACACACACACACACACACACACACACACACACACACACACACACTCACACACACACACACCACACGCACACACACACACACACACACACACACACGCGTGCGCGCGCACACACACGCACACACACACACTCACACGCACTCAAAAAGTGCCCCTTAACTAACTATGACAGAAACGAAAGCAATCTACCATTTTTATAACAAAAATGCCCAAACGAAAAAACCTTACAGCGAGATGACAGTGTAGTAATCTGCACTGCTTATTGCTCGGTAGTTTCAATTTGACATGGAAATGAGATTGAAAAACGTCGAGCGCAGCCATGCATCAATTAGGAGGACCCGGTCTTCCTGAAACACTGGTCAAGTGTCAACCAGATTTTTTGTTTGTATATTTGTTGTTGTTGTTTTTTGTTAGGGGGGCGGGTTTTGTTTTGTTTTGTTTTCTGTTTCTTTGTTTGCTTGTTTGGTCTCGGACGCTCTTTGAATTCGCGACTTTCTAAATTTTTTAAAAGACATCCTCAACTTCAAATCGTTCTCATAATGTTTGAAAGGAGCGCGTCTGCATTGGAACCTAGGCGACTCAATCACTAATTCAAAAGGCTGGCTAAAAACTAAATGGGGAAATCGCGAAAATAAAATTAATAAAACCGGTGTGCAGTTTTCTATAGTGTGACGTCAAACTCTGTAAGTAAAAAAAAAAAAATGATGAGAAAAGAAATCATTATTATTATTATT